AATGATTATTCTACTCAAATAAGCTCTTTCTTACTTAAAGCCTACAATAAATCTCAATATATTTGGAAATATTCACAATATTTGATTTAATGCTAAGGTAAAGAGAAGAAAAGGAAAAAAAACTTTTATGGTTATATGTAAAAACATAATAGGTAAATTAGTTTCAGGTTGACTGCTGTTATAGATCAATCAGATTTTACAATAATGAACAATTCTTCAGGTTTTGTTTTGGATATTCAACACAAAGTTACACAATGGCTATCTTTGCTAGTTGCTCTAAATTTGAAAAAAAAACTAGATGGAAAGTAGCTAGTCAACAACACTCATCTCCAGCTCTTGGGCTACTCTAACTGATGAGTGGATTTGATAGTCATTCTCATAATATACCCAAGGCTCCAAAGTGTAGAGGGTGATTTTTGTTTCAAAAGAAGGATATGAATAACGAATCCTCCAATCCACAGTCAGGCATGCTGACCATTAGCACAATTTTTCAGGAAACTGAGATAAACAATACCAGTCTTGAATAGTAATTTTGGGAATTATGTATTTTAAAAACAGGATATTTTCTTTTCAAATTCTGGAAAGCTATTATGATGTCATGAAAGATTTTTAATTACAGCCAAAACTCCATTACTTTTATCATAGTTTGAAGATTAAATTCAATTTACAGGAAAGGAGCCAAAGCTACCCTTTTTGTAAATCTGCATTTTGGTTTGTAATTATAACTAATTGTATACAAAATGACAATTGTCTACATCATGTTTTTATGTTTGTTTGTTTTCAGGCTAAAGAAACTGTATAGATCAGCAATTATCAAAATCATTATGTACATTTTTGTTTGTACTTTAAATTAATTGTATAGAACAATTGATTTCCATTGTTAATTTTGTTACTATTAACTGAGCAAATGAAAAATCATCTAAATGCTTATGTTACAACATCGTAAAGCTCAAAACTTGAAAAATGTTTGGAATAAAATTTTAATTTCCTAGTTCCTCCTCTATTTACGATATCACCTAACTAGTTTAACTTAAGTCATAGCACTTAGCATTAAATGCTCTGTTAGTAAAGATTTGGTTTGGTTGTTGTTAAGCACAAAGCTACACAATGGGTTATCTGTGCTCTGCCCACCAAATGTATCGAAACCAGATTCATAGTGTTGTAAGCCTGTAGATTTATTACTGAGCCACTGAGGAGTTAATAAGGTTTTAACTTCTCTTGTGCACTATAAACAAACCTATGTTTAATATTTCAAATAATATACATGACAAAATGTGCTTGAGCTAAACCTTCTCTTCCTATCCAAGTAGAGTTTTCTTCTCCATCAAAATGTATTTATTTGAGGAAAGAAAGCTCTCCTAATTATTTCAACATTTAATTCGTTTAATTTTCAAATGATATTGTGAAAAGCCACACGTGTATTTTTTGTATCTCTTTCACATAAGTATATGATAAAATAAAACACATTTTCAAACTGTATATGGATGTAAACGGTTAATTTTTGAACTATACAAAGACACTATTTCTCACTTGTTTAGAAAGTTCAGTAATCTCTCGGTGTTTCATACACCCATTGTAAACGTGCATGATGTTTACATATTAATCCAGTAAGATGATAAAATCTACTTTATTTAAGGATTTACACTAGCAGCAATATCTCATTTAGGTACTAACATCAGTGTGTCAAACAATCATTTAAGCTTTAGACGTAATTAAAACAGTCTACATAAAATCACTTCATGAATATGAATTAAACCAAAAGTATTTTAATATGCTTTTTTTGCAATTAATCATTCATTATTAGCTGGATTTTAATGAGTATTATGCATGTTAATGATGAAATGATTGTATTTACTCAAGAGGATCATGATTAATAGAGAAAGAATTAATAAAATTAAAAATATCTATTTAAATTCCAAATACTCATTAGAATATATTACTAGATAATTGCTAGATGAAAGTATTGATTTCTTAGGAGAATCTGCTAATGGAAATAACACAAAAAAATGCATGAACATCTTAACATTACGACCAATGACATCAACAACTGCATGACCATTTCATTAATTAATAAGTACAACTTTTTGAAATAATAACTTATATATATATATATATATATTAGAATTTGTTTCACGAATTAGACAGGGGACTTAATATTATTTTAATTTTGTGATTAAAATGCTGTCACCAAAAGAACTTATGTTAAAACCATATATCAATGTGTCTCTGGATGTATGACTAATCAACACAGAATATGTTTATTTTAGGAACATAATACTAGATAAAATATTATAGCTCAAAAACATTTATGTAGATTAGTTTTAATTTTTTAACGAATGTGTATTGTCAAAAAATTTAATTATATAATCAATGTAACATTAATTAATTTTTAAATTTTGATGTGTAAAAATTAAGTCTCAGCTGACTTTTAGTATTTATAAAAGAAAAAATAAGTCATTCCCCATAAAATTGATTCCATCAACTCTTCTAACTTTATATTACTGATTAAGGTAAAAGATTCATAATTACCTAATAAATATAGGATATGAAGTTATTTCTGTTTAATAAGTAGGTTTAGAATAAGCAAAAATGCTTTACTGCATGTTACAATATCACATTAAAAAGCTTTCAATAAACAATTAAATGTACAATATAATCAACATATTAAGTTAAAAAATAAATTTAAAAGCATGAAACAATATTTAAAAAAATCTTTAGGTTCATTAACTTATATTCTCCAGTTAATTACATAATGTTGAAATGTAAACAAAATACAAAATTCCCAGTCACTAACATCTCTTGTCACAATTTAATAGTAAGGCCTTATAATAACAATGGAATGACTGAACGTTTTTGACAAATGAAAATATTCTTGATATTAAAAATAATACACAAGTCCATTCACTTTGAAACTGGCATGCAATATTTGTATTAACTGTTTAGATTTTTCCATTACATAATTTACAAGAAGAGGAAGAAAAAACCAAAATTTATATACATATACGACCACTTTGGTGACTTTTGCACCCTTTCTTAAAAATCACAGATGCATAGAACAAACAATGAAGCTTAAGACTGGAGGAGAAAAAAAATGTATAATATTAAGTATCTACTGGAAGGTGGCCGAGGAAGCAGGAGATCCTGGAGTGCTGCTGCCACTACTTTGATGACGTTTGATGTACAAATTTAGCAGTTTCATCTGAAAAAAAGAAAATAATGATAGTAGAACATAGCAAATCCAGTTCTTTTAAAATAGACACATTTTCAACCGAAACAATATGTATAAACAAAAAAGTTCAGGCATATTACAAACCAATAGCAATGATAAGTTGTAAAATATGGTTAATAAAGAAATATGTCTTCAGTGAAATTTTTCAACATATTTCTTTGTACATTGTTAAGTACAAAGTTAAACAATGGGTTATCTGTGTTCTGCCAACATCGGGTATCAAAACCTGAATTTTACCACTAGGGTGGGAGCTTTACATCAAGTACTAGAACAGTGAAATTTCCAGAATATACTTAATAAAGAAAATAAAATCTTCTTATACATATTAGACCACAATGTAGGTTAGTGTTTACTTATCAAATTGTATTTATGAATCTAACAACAACAACAAACTAAGAATGTTTTTTAAAGTCTCAACCCTAACCGATACTTTAGTTTTTATTTTATTTAAGTTTGGTGTATTTAATATAGAAATTTCTTCAAAGTACTCTAAGATTATATAAAGAAAAAAAATTTTCAGACTATATTTTTAAACTAACATACCCGATAGTTTCTCTTAAAAAAAAAAAACAACTGCATAGAGCAACATATCATTTTACCTTACTTCCATTAAGTGACGATAGATATGTCTTCATTGAATCACCCACTACGCTGTGTATAGCTACCATACAAAAAACGGCTGCCTTTCTCACAGAACTTTCTGTGTTGTCATACGCCTGTAAAGAAGAGAACAATAATCAAATACATGACACAACTTGTTTCTCATCAAATTCAGGTTATTAGAAAGATTTAGACTTCTGCATGACAAAGTTGGTTTAGTTTTTAAGAACAAAATTTTAACATCACCTTCCAATTAAACCTTAAAATGTTAAACTCTTTTAACCCTATCGAAATCGGCTAATGTATCTTACATGACCTCATAACTACAATGTAACCATAGTGGTATATATATATATATATATATTATGACTCTGAAAGTGCTTAAAGTAACTTCATAAAAATTTGGTGAGCTTTAGTAAAAGTCTTTTGTAGACAAAAAAATGAGAACTTTTAATTAAGTATTTTTTACTAAAACTTTGTCCAAAATTACATGGTGTCAGAGTGTTGACTGCTCTGAGTGCAAAATGATTTTCATGTTAAGATTAAAAATACTCTTCTTCATCTAAAAATTTTAAAATTTAATTAATTCATTTTATTAATTTCATTTCCATAAAACCTCCCAAATAAGTATCAAAGTTTTTTTTTTTCAGAAAAACTTTATATTTTGTCTTTTATTTTCTATACTATAATTCTAGCAGACCTTTTAACCAAACATATAAAAGTTAGGAAATAATTCTAAGTTCCCTTTCTTCTTTCTGGAATGACTAGAAATTGTAACAGAAAACCACAATACTTTATCCTAATTAGCTTAAAGCTTGTAACAGTGTACATCTGTTTCCGCATAAATTTATTGTTTATTGCACTTTGAATCATTTTGAACTAATAATCCTGCCACATAAATTGTAAATCACTTGGTGAACGTGTAGCTCACGTTACCCTATCGAATAACACAATACACAAGCATACTGTTAAGACAGCGGAAGTCACATGACGCTAGTAACACGTCATGAGATTCTAGAAGAATCATGTCTGTTCCTGGCAACTCTAGTCTTTTCTACGCGCCCTCTATTTAGTATATAATCCAGCAAATAAAGTGACGGCAGGGAAGAATAATTGCAGATAGAGAGAGATATAGAGACAGATAATTGAGCGGTAGTGACCGTAAGTAAGGTGTGTGAATTATAGCGTGTGTTTAAGTTAAAGTGACTGTGGAAATTAAGTGTATTACAAAGTTTGTAACGAGAAAGAATAAACTAGTTTTAATTAAGAAAGGACTTGTATTGCTGAAGTTACACAGAAAGAATTTTTACGGGAAATTATTAAACAAACAGAGACGTAACAATACCTTGTGAGAAAGTTTTATTATTATTATTATTATTTATTTTACCTAATCTAACCAAATAAGTTTATAATTTTTTACATTTTAGTTACTTTAATAATAATAAATACAGAATACACATGAAAAATAAGAAATATAGTACTTACCCGGGTCTTCTTTTTTTTGCTTTTAAGAAAACTTTACTTTTTATATCAATGGCACTACTGCACTAAGTAATTTTTTCTTTGATTAAATAATGTACCAGAAAACACAAAATAATAACACATAAAAAGCAGACAATGTCTTATAACGATCACATTTTTCTGACTTTGTAACAAGAGCCATTAAAAATTCAGCTAAGCTCGTTGATGTACTTCCTGTGAGAAAAAAATTTGAATTGGAAGCGAAATAAATAATTCTCTGTACAGAAAACAAGGTAATGTAATACATCATTTGATAGATTAAAACTTTGGTTTTCTATTGGTTATAAATAATATAGTATTAAATGTCAGAGAGAACTATTGGTAAAAAAGAAAAGATGTGACAAGTGGGCATGGCAAGAGGGGTCTGATTTTCTAGTTTACGGCTCCCTAAACAAATAGGATTGATGACTATAAAAATTTAATTTTCATTAAATTTCATACTTCTCAGAGGGTTGGTGAATAAATTAGCAAAGAGAGAAAATCTAGAGTGTAAATGTCACAATTTTCATACTAGGGGAGATTGAGGATTTTTTTAAAAATATTTTCTTACAAAATTAAAACTTAAAGTTTATATAACGTTAAAATTTGATATACTAGCTATGTTTTGATGCCAAGTTTATTTGTATACATGGATAATAAAGTAGTTTAATTAACTTTTGAATGTAACTCTAAAAGGTTGTGACATGCATTTTGACCTACCCAATGCAAAAGGGTTAAACTAGCCATACACATTTATTTTTTCAAACCCTCACAAAGACAAATAATAAAAGTTTTTCCACACAGATGCTGTGACAGGGAACATCACATTACAATATCGAGCATAACGTTTGTTTTGGTGCAAATACAACTGATTTACCTCTACCAATCACGTGTGATTTAAAACCAGCACTATCTCACAAAAGTGCTAATTTATCAATAAAATGGACTTGAAATATTGGCTCCTGTGAGGTGCCATGCTAAATTGATATGGTTAGGATTTGAGTTGGTTTTTGAAAATTGTTCATTTTTATCAACAGAGAATGCAGATCAGAACTTGTTTTTACTAAAGTTTGATATTTTTCTATGCTGAGATACGGCTTTTGGGTAAATCATATAGACTATATATAAGTGCTAATGTGTGGTATACATCAAACTACCAAATACATGTTAGGCACCCTACAAGTGCAAAGCATTACCTGGACAAGTGCAGGCATCATATCAGGTAACAGTTGCAAGACGATATTTTTCTGCTGCTGCTCAACCAACTACAATAAACACACACACATATACAGTGATTACCTTTAGAATAAAGAACACATACACTAGATCAGAAAATATTTATAACTTACAATTTAAATAAGGTCCTGATCCCCGGTTCTTTGAATTGAAAATATAATATGATAACCAAGTACAATTTCTAAATTCTTGTAAGAAAAGTAAAAAATAATTTTATATTTTGATATTGATTGAATTAGTAAAGTTCACTTGATACAAACAGAGCTTAGTGATACTGGTATGTTGTGATTCAACAAAATTATAAAATGTGAGTTCAGTAAATGTTTATATATTCCTACACATGTAATAAGAACTTGAGAATTTAAATTACAGTAGTGAATTGCTAATAAAAACTGGTGGGATAACCTGTAGCTAAATTACAGTACAGAACTTGCCTATGTGCACGAAGTCACAGGTTTGATCAAGATAAAAGGAGACAACGGTGTTTGTGTATGGACACATTTTGTTTTGGTGTAGTACGAATCCAAACTTGAGTTACATGTAACCATCTTTAAAAGTATGAAGCAATATTTCTTGTATATATATATCCTAATTTTTGGATCTAGATTTAGAATAGGATTTAGCCCAGATGTATGTATAGTACAATAGGCACTATTTTTTAAAAGTAAATAGATATATGTAGTTAAATTCTACCCATAATATCTCTTTTTCTCTCTCTCTCTCTCTCTCTATATATATATATATATATATATATAGTAGTAGTATATTATTATTACTATATAATAGTAGCTATACTATACGTACTACTCTGTG